TTCCGATCCATCCAGGCAGCGATAGGAATGCACAACCAGAGTTCTGAAGTAATAAACAATTCAAATTGAGCATTCAGTTCAAGCATTCGTTTAACCACTTGATTATTTTGAAGTTTCGTAAGGGAATTAAGCTAATGACTGAAAACGTAGCCCTCGAGCAATTCGCCGAGACTTTCGGCTATCAACAATTTGTGGAAAAGTTCAGCAGTCGGCGATGCTTAGGAGTGAAATTTTTGGATTCGGTGCTAAATCCTCTGAGAAATTTAACCACATGCCGAAATGCATTCGATCAGAGGATCGTCGATTATCGAAACTAAGTTTCGTGTCCCAATGTAAGGTGGATTTGGCGCGGGGGCCCCCGATCAGATTTTAGTGCATTCATTTGAGTATTATCGGAAAATAAATTGCTCGAATATCGCTAGAAGAGTGAATGTGTTGCGATTACCTTTTCTCAGCATCGATATTATATTTGGTGATCGTTTTTAAATGACTAAAATAAGCGAATAAAATGTTCGCAGATGAAATAATAATTGGTAAGTCGAATGTTGTGAGCGAATCATTCCTGTTCAATACGCACAATTCAGTCGCGAATAACACGAGTGCAACCAATTTTACGACGAGAAACAGCAACGCTGAAATATTTGATTGATTAATTTCATTTAGTTAAATGTTAAATTATTAAATTGATAACATTAAATATATTAATATAACATTAATTTAACATTAAATAATAACTTCAATAACATTAATTAAATATTAATCAACCAATTGATTAATTTCAATCGGTTGATTAATTCCAAAGCCGATAGTGGTCTGACAATCTTTTTATGTCGTCGCTGATGGTGACTTAAGAGGTCGAAATGCTGAGTGCGTATTGTTAATTATTAGAGGACTTCTTATCATGCGATTAATCGGATATCGCAACAGTTTCTGTCATTATCAAAAAAATATTAACAATAAGATTTGAGAAGGATGAAATGTATGGAAATTTGCAAACGTTTTCACGAACGTTACATTGTAGAGTTAAAAATTATGAATAGTGGTAGGGTTGGGTCGGATGGAGAAATCAACCTAGCGTAAGGGTTAGGGTCGAAGACCCCAGAAANATTTTGAATTGAATGGTTACAAATGTGAATGATGGCTCAAATTGACACTCAGGTAATTATTAATAATGAATGGTGCCATACCAGGTGCTCTTCGTTGTCGTCTTACTTGTTGATAGTAATGCACATCGAGTTGTGTTTCACATTCACCGATTTGAGGATAAGATGCACAATTAATCGATCTGATGAAATTGTATTCTGCGACAAACACAGGAAAGAAGGTTGCCACTGTAAGCAGGGCTGTACTGATCAGTATGAATGCATCACGACCGAACAACACACCGTCTGCGTTGGATGGCAGTGATGAGAGGACATTGTACTTTTTAAATACCATATACAGTGGAATAAACTGAGATCCGGTTGAGAGCGGAATTTGAAGTTTCTGAAAATTTGAAAAAAATTGAATATTTTGAATTATTGGTGACATCATTGTCAGTGCTATCATAACATGAATTGACTTTGTTTAAATTGAGTTGGTGTTTTCAATGAATATTCATCACTGCATTAGGCATAAATTGGACGTTGCATGTTCTGTATACGTGGTATTGGGTATACAGTGATGCATCATTATAGATGCTGTTATAAAATTTGATGTTTTCGACAAATAAAATATTGAACGAATATTTTAGCCGATTACCGGGGAGCATCCACCGAATATTTCACTGTAGCAAATTATATATTTCAACATTATATACAAACTTAAATCAGCAATCACAAATGTTAATATCACCAGCAAATTGTATCCCTGAAATTTGATATCAATTAGTATGA